TACCTCAAGATCAGCACAGAACATCCTCAGACCAACCTCTCCTGTAATGTTTTAGATCAATCTGCAGAGCCATCAATCTGCAGAGTATAAGCTATAGGACCTACTACTCCCACCCCACAATTTTTGGTTATAAGGCAGAATGCAATCCATCCAACACAATCTCGACATAGGGAGGCAACTAGGGCCCTCTCATACATTTCCATCCATTGTAAAGAAAATTCAAAACAGTTGCATAACAACAAAAAGATAACAACATGGCAATATCAAAACAATTATGTGCTTCCCATATTATACACAGAATCTATGAAAAAGAGGCTATGTTCTGATGTGGTATATACAGTGGTACCTTGGCTCACGAATGCCTCAGTTCACAACCAAATCGGTTGCAAGCAAAAGTTTTGGCAAAATTTGACAGGCATGATCGTGGTCGTGCTCAGAGGGGGAGATGGCCGAAATCGCACCTGTCTTTCCTGCACAAGGACGATTGCTACTGCACGATTATCATTTGGACTCTCCCTCCAAACCATAACCTCCCCCCCATACCTAGATTAGTATTCTCTACTGTACAGTACAGTACTTCGTTACTTTGTTGTTCTTTGTCACTTTGTCTCAAATTTTTGTGATTAAAAAAAATGGTTACAGAACAGATTAACCTTATTTACATTGACCCTTATGGGGAAATTTGACTTGGCTCACGAACGATTTGGGTCACGACCAGAGTCCTGGAACAGATTAAGTTCGTGAGCCAAGGTACCACTTCACCGGGAAGTGTATATAAATCATTTGAACAGGATTCTTCAGAACTAGAAGTTACTACATTCTCTTCCAACTTAAGTTTCAGCTTCATTCTTGGCAGAAGCCATTCCTGAAACATTTTTGCAGAGGATGTGGATGTTGAAGGCCAGACAGACCCTCATAATCCTAATTCTATGGCCTGAATGGGTGAAGAAGACAGAAAAAGTCCACAAGTTTCCCATCCCTGCTTTAAGGGCAGAACTGCATATTACTTTAACCTTAGCAAATCTTTGATGACCAACACATGCCTGCTGCAGTAATGGAAACAGAGCGATGAGGGCATTTCTATGGGAGAGTGGACAAGTGTGAGGGACTGCCTGGTTCTCCTCCAAATGAAGTTTCTTCTGCTGTGTTTACCTCCAGTTCTCCTTCATGGCTTTTCTTCCCCAGCTGGTGTAGGACTAAGCTAAAAGAAAGGAGGCGCAGAGAATCAGTGCATTCAAAGGACTTCTTGGGCCCTACAATGGGGTGTCACAAGAGAAACATGAGTTTGAAAACCCAGTTTTTCTGCCACAGTGACATACGGTCCAGTTCTAAGTTAGTAGCTCTCAAATTTGGCCATGTAAAGAGTCTTTAAGGGGCAGTTCCAACACAAACGTACATCACTTTTTCTTCAGTATCACACTAGCAAAATAGACCATTAGCACAACAGAAACTAGCAAGTGGGAGCACTTGTTTCTGGAACAGGACAGGTCAGCAAGAGCTCCCAGATTCATCTACTACTGCTATGCTTCCATTGTTTCTGTTGCACTAGCAGAAAGGGTGGCTACAGCATCAATGAGTAGTCCCTGGAAGAACTGGAACTGAGCAGTCACACTCCACTCATTTGCCCCTCATTTTCAGCTGTTTCAGAAACTGCTACTTCCTCAATCTGTTCCACAAGTGCAAGGCAGCTAAGTGAAAACATAGCCACAGTACAGGATGCTTCCCATTGTGTTGTGCTTGCTCCACTTCTCAGAGGGGTGAGAGGTTCCAGGGGCACTACATTTATCCTGGTTTCTGTTGGAAGGACAGTGATGACTTATTGCTCTTTCATAACATTTGAGTTCATTTACAAATATGCAGGTGCTATGTAGATGGAAACACACCACTCCAATTGACAGCCAGATCCATTTCCCTTTATCTGATCTCCAGAGAGAAGCCGCCCCCAAAATGGCACTTGCTCTGTCCTGGCTTCTTGTTTTTCTGTCTGCCCTAGCACCCACTTCCTCTGTTTTTCATGCACAGCTGGCTTGCCCCTGCCTCTGGCTGGAGTAGGAAAATAAGGCTGCATCTTCTTCTCCATCCATCTCCTGGCCTTCCTGAGCTTCATTTACCTGTAGCTTGCCTGACAAAGATACGTCTGGCAACTTTGCCACTGGCTATTAAGGGATTCTTCAATAGTATGGCAAGCTCCAGTCTCCTGCCTAAACCCCCAATTTTGTACAAAATGGATTACTCATACTGAATAAGTGAACTGTCTCCATGAGAAAATACAAACATTCTGTATGTGTGAAAATACAAACATTCTGTCTTTTTTGTTTGATATGAAGGCTGATTCACACACAGACATTAACACCAATATGTCAGGAGCAAATTGTATATTACGTAAAAGACCCTGGCTGCTTCTGCAGATTATGTTATAGATTACATTTTAATCCTGTTCTTTCTCCAAAAAGCCCAGGGTCATATCCAAACCATTTTATCTTCAATCAGTCCAATGAAATAGGTTAGACTTAAAGATTGTGTAGTAGGGTGAGTACTGGGATTTGAAAGTGGATTTAACTGGTTCTGGTCTGGCATTATAGCGATGATACTACACACTCCATATCGCATTTTTCCTGTTCTTGTTCACCCTTTCCCTTTCTTGCTGTTAAGAACAACTTTAAAAAAAAAGAAATTAACAATTGCGATTGACAATACAATACAAGCCATTGTACGTTCATGTCTCATGAAAATCAACAAAGTCCCTATATGCCAAGCTAGAGAACTTGCAAAACCATAGAACACAGTTTCTGTGTCAGTGATAAGACCCAGTATCAAAGGTAAAGGGCAGAATTTCAGTCTTATCTTGGAACTTCCATGCTTTTCCTTATTAGTTTAGTACAGTTTTTGCGGTTTGACAGATAAAAAGCAACTGGTAGGGAGTTGTATGTGTTAAAAAAACATTAAATCAATTGGTTACTCTGGGCATCACTGATACTATGAAAATAACAACTGAATTGTGGGGATAATTTTTCTCCCAGTTTATGATGAAAAGAAAATAGATATGTTTCTGGTTGTTTATCTCAGAGTATTGTCTATTTATGACAGTACTTTTAATGTAGTAAAAGTTACATTTCTTAAAACACTTGTATGAAAAAATACTTTGCATTTTCATACATTCTGTAAGAAATAAACAAAATGCCAAAATATCCTTGTTACTATGCATGTTTACTTGGCAACAATTGCAGCCTCACTCTCTACAATTTTTAGTCTGCTTGTTTTTCTTGAGGGTGCCAAACCTTTTAGAGCCCTAAACGGCTTAGGGCCTGCTTATCTGATGGAATGACTTCTCCCATATGTACCCTGCCGACCACTAAGGTCAGTGGCAGAGGTCCTTCTTCAAGATTATTCTACAACAGTCACAATATAGAAGTAAAAACAGTTGTGTTACTTGTACCAAACATTTAAGGTAAGGTAAGCTGTACAATGAAGTAACTTTAAAATGTTTGATATCCAAATAATGCAGCAGGCTTGTTAATCTGATGTCCTTTCTGTATTTATCAAATAGCCTCCATCCTTCCAGTAGCCTGGTCTGGCAGCTATGATAAATAGAAACATTTTCATCAATCCTTCCTGATATTGCATAGCAAATGTTTTTCCCTTAAACATTTGCAACCCACACACATGTGTTTCCTCTCTACAGGTTGTATCTTGCCAAATGCTCACTCTGGTTATTTATGTTCAAATACATTTTTTTCTATTTAAAATTGTTAGAACAAATGAAAAACCTTTATTTTATTCTGAGTTTATGATGTGGTGCTATCAGCACTGTTTATTTAAGCATACTAGATATTCCTAACATATCCATCCCAAGGTAACCAAATCTGAGTGCTACAATTTTCTGCTTCTCCTTTGTCATATATTACATGCTGCCTTTCTGTGTGTGCACTCAGGACTGCAATCCTTGACTTCCTTACCTGGGAGTATATCCCCCTAAACTCAATAGGTCATTTCTGAATAGTCAGGTATAGTCTTTTAGACTACTAAGATCCTCAAATTTCCAAATGGCCAGCTCAACAGAATGGCAATATGGATGGATAATATGTCAATTCCAGTTTCTCTTGGTTTCTCGTCTTCTGAAATGCAGTGTTACTGAATGCTCTCTAGATGCATGTACAAATGTGGGTACATTCCAAGACACACATGTTTAACACTCCATAGTTGCTTTCAAAAGGGGCTTAGAGGAAAATCAATCTTTCCAACTAGTATGGACAATTTTCACCCCAGTTTGCTAACAAGGTTGCATCTTCACCACATTTCTTTGCTTCAGCTTTACATTCCTGTGCTGACTTTGCCCTTGCAGTAGGATTGCTTTATCGATACTTTAGCTGCTCTTGGGTGGCTATACCATATAGCGTGTATTCACTGATCACATGATGCACAACAAAATAGCAATTAGGTGTTGAACAAATATGGGGAACCTTTCTGGAAAAACTGAAATAATCTCCCATGCTTATTCCTTATCTATTACATGATTAGTGAAAGCAAGCAATATTAATTGGTTTCACCCCAGGATGAAGCTATGGCAAGCTTTAGGTATCTAATTTGTTCATACTAAAGGACATAAGAATGGCATAAGGTACACTGTGGCTTCTAAAAGGAGTTATGTTAGGTCTATTTTATAGTTTCTTTAACTGGTGATTTGTAGATGGTTATAAAAGTGTTCCTTATGGCACAGATATTATCTAAACAGTAGACTTTGGTCTCAATGATTGTCAAACATAAACAGTCAATAATTATTTATGATATAATGGGATTCATGTTTATTGGTATTTTTTGGCAACAAAGGCTTTATTCATAGTTTTGAAAAAGTAGGATATCTGTTGTCATAGTTTTACAAGGTTGAAATATGAACACAGATGTCACAATTAGAGATAATGTTTGTAATTATGTACTTGCTCTGAAATAAAGTTTCAAATACCAGTTATCATTGTGGAAGATGCTCAGGAATGGTGATGTTTGTGCTCGCCTCGGTAGCACATTTACTAAAATTGGAATGATACAGGCAAGATGAGCATGGCCTTGTGCAAGTATAAGATTTTTTTCCAGTAGTACATTACTCTGAAAGATATATTAAAATGGACAAGGATCATAATGGAAAAATTTGGAAATGTAAAAAAAGTAGACAGGATTTTCTACCATATGTGGTGGACTTGTGACAAAATTAAAAGATTTTGTCTTTTGTATTTAAATTTTTTTAAGTTGATACATACAGAAATACCAAAAAAAACCCCACCCCTTAAAAAAAACTTTCCTATGACTTCCAAGAAAATGCTTTTTAATATAATGCCAGAGACATCTTCAAAGAATATCTCAGAGTTATTTCAATGTATGACAACTGCAGCAAGAATTACAGTTGCTTCTAAATGGAAAACAGCATTAAGTTAGCTGAGTATGCAGTGATGGCAAAATTAAGTAATTATGTAAACAGTAGGCCAATTGAAGAATTTAAGGATAAATGGAAATTCTATTATATGCAGTTTAATTAATATGGAACAAAAGGTAGCTTGTAAAAATAGTGTTGAAGATTTATAGTTGATTTGAAATGATTGGAAAAATTGTTGGTTTATAGAACTATAATTATCTTTTTTGTGAGCCTCAACAAAGTACTAACTGACAGAAAGATAGAAATTTCTGACTTTTTAAGGAATTTGCAGGTTATGGATATATATACTATATTCATATAAGATTGCTTGCATTCTTCTTTTTCTTTTATATTTTTATTCCTTTCTGTACTTCATTTCTTTTAAGAAATTTTTTTTTTAAGGAATGGTAATGTTTGGAAATGTTGTACTTAGAATTTCTGAGCATGCTTTAGGCTGATAAATTGATGCAGCGAGATATCATTTAATGAGATATCACAATTTTTTGGAAGAAAATGTAACATTGCAGTTTCAGGATCCAAGACAGATAGGAAGGCAGATGGATGGATTTGGTTAGGAAATTGATATTCTCTTTTGTAGTGCATTAAGAATGGATACCTGGATTTTTTTAAATCAAAGACTATGACATTGTAGTCCAGTAAAATCTACAAATGCTGTAGACATTTACGGCACTGAAAACTTTGTTAATAGGCAGATTCACACATGATGGCAACAGGGATGTGCTAAGAAGAGGCATCCCTATTGACTACACCTGCCTGAACAGCTTTTTCCCATGCAGGTGCAAAGGATCCACCTGAGCCCAGGCCCCCACCTCCTCTTTTGCTTAGGAGAAAGCTTGGAGGGGACACCCGAAGGGTGGGCCTGAGCTTTGTAACAATGCTTGAGGATTGGGTGTCCCTGCCAACCCTCCCTCATGGGTGGCTTGATCCCAGGTAAGAGCAAGGATCAAGGGGGCATGGTTTTGAATGGTTTACCCCATTCTTGGAATATCCCTGCCAAGCCCATAGCCTTGCTCTTACCTGGGAGAAAGCTGTTCAGGATAGAAGCTGAGAAGACAGGCCATGGGCTTGGTAGGGTTGCTTCATTCTTGGAGCATCCCAGGAAGACTGTGCCCTGTTCCTACACAAGCAGCTTATTCCCAGGCAAGAACTAGAAGCTGGGGATTCACTTGATGGGGCAGCTGCAAGTGCAAGGCAATGGCATGCACATGATCACCTGCTCCTGCCACACTCCCTACAGTAGATCCCTGGGGCACGAGGTGGGAGGGACACCTGTCACCTGTGCCAAATTGGGGTACCTGTCAAGCACATTTCTGGTTACCTGCCTGGCAAGACCAGTGACAACTGCTCCTGCCAAGCAGCTCATGTGTTCTAGGGTTGTGTTGTCTACAACAAGCAACCTTTTTAGGAGAAACCCTAATACAGACCATTGTGACTTATCATGGTTCTCCCCCATGGTAAGTCACAATGGTAAATTACCACAGTAAAGTTGAGGCAACACAACAAATTATCAGTGATACCAATCAATGGTTGCTTGTCATGTGGTGGAATCCAGTCAGTCTCTGCATAGTTCCATCCATGAAACTTATACAGTAGCTTTTCCCAAATCTCCCTGTTTTATGTTATGACTTATTCACATAAACTAATACTGGGTTACCTTGAACAGCTTCCAGCCACCCCACCTTTTTTAAAACTCTGCTTCTCTTAGCATTTTTCAAGCTTAAACTAAGCTAATCATAGTGCAGTTGAATATTCCAGACAAGTCTAAGCATGCATCTCTCATTCTGAACTTGGCAATATGCTAATACTCTTGACTCCACTGTTCCACGTGTTCCTTAAGTTAGTTCTTCAGGAGAACTGCATTGACCATTTTCAGGAATCAACTGTGCAGTCCAATACATCATTGTCCTGTTGTTTCATATATTTAGGGAAGCCCAAGACATTCTATGTAGTTGACTTGATATGCAAATATGATGATGAAGAAAACTTCCCTTTTATTCAGGAGACATTTAATTATCCTAAGACATAATATTCGTTTTAAAATCTTCATTCAAGAGAAGTGTTTCTGTGTTAAAATATCACTATGTTTTAAAACTGAGTCAGCAATACAATGTTTGTGGGTGTCCCTAGATACCTTCCTGGGTGCCTGCTCAGGCACCTTGCTCTCTCAAATTTTACTTGTTCAAAAATATGTAAATATTTGTTTTTGTTCACCTTGGGTGGTGGCTGGGTATGCTAGAAAGGGAAAGCACAGGCCTACAGCTGCCCCACCCTCTCCTCTTTCCCCCAGAATGCCTCTTGGTCTCACATATGAGAGAGAGAGAGAGAGAGAGAGAGAGAGAGAGAGAGAGAGAGAGAGAGAATGTGTGTGTTGTGCATGTGCATATGCTTTGCCTCGGATTTTATTTTAGGGGATTGTCTGAATTTTCTCTGGGATTTCCTATTTTTGGAATCTGCTTAACCTGGGTTCATGTGTGTGTGAGGGGGTGTTAATGTGTGGCTACATGTGTGAAAATGAGAGTACTGCCTAGGGGTTTTTGGAGTGTGGGTAGTGTTTTGATTTTTGTGAGGTGCATGTATTTCATTTGTTTTATTGGAGATGTTGTCCAAGTACCTTTTCCTTTGGAGCAGAGAGTGGGCTGATGTCCAAGGTGTTGTGTATGTGCGTGTTGCCTTGTTTCTTGTGTGTGTGTGTGAGAATTTCTCCTGATGAAATTTCTAGGGTTGTTTAGCTGTGTGTTTATACCTGGGTTTCTTTTGTGGAGGGAGTTAGGGTTAGGGGCTGTGATCTAGGGCTGTTTGGGGGAGGGTCTTATGCATCTTGCCAGGCTGTTCTTTGAGTGGGGGTATATGTTTTGCCTGAGACTTTTTTGTGTGGGGGATGTACGGAGTGTAACTTGCTTGTTTTCAACAAAAAATGGTACTTTGTTGTGTTATATGGGATCAAATACATACATACATACACACGTGTGTGTGTGTGTGTGTTCAAACCCAGCTTTTGTCTTGTATTCAGCTTCTTGAACAAGCAAGTTTGTCTTCTGGGACTAGCCAGGACCATAAAAGCCATTTTGGGTAATGCCCTCAATAACTGATAGACCTTCTTTGCAAGCACAAGTGGATGAGGTGATAATGAGGCTTTCAAGTTTACCAATGTGACAAATTAACAGATGAAATCTGAGAATGAGGACAACAGTCAAGCAAATGCTAGACACCACTTTCATTTTCTTTGAGGTTCCTTCTACAAACTAGCATTTTAAAGTGGCAACACTTATCTGCACTGGCCTTTGCATTCATAACAAAAGCTAAAAGAAGGCTGAAGATTTCAGGTTGAACTCATGTAGCCACTAAACAGCCCTAAATTCAATGGAGCTAACTTCCAGATAACTCTGCTAAGGATTGTTGTCATACCACAGCTCTGTGGTTTGGCAGGTTGTATGTGTGCGAGTGTATGGTCGTGCTGCTATGAATACAACACTGTAGATATACTTGATCTGAATGGTTTTTGAATTCCTTTTATTTTGGGAGGCTCTTATTACAAATACTACAATTTTTAATATATATATATATATAGAGAGAGAGAGAGCTATTCTGTTTGCTTTTGTGTGGTTTTATGCTGCCATCGGCCCATTAAATTCTACAAAATACACTAATGAAACCCAGGATCGTTCAGTTTTAGTTTTATTCGTAGAAAGGCTCCAATGTTTATAATAGCTGTATGGCAGCTTAGAACTTAGCAGGTGAAGAATTTTCTCACTTGAGGATGGAGCAGGAAAAGCTACAGTTGCGGAGCCTACATGGAAAAGCCTATGCTACACGGCCAAACACACACCACTAGGGCGTACGTGTGTTGAAGTCATCGGCCTAAAGCGCAAGAGCCCTCTCAGAAAACACAGTTGGTAACCCCAACGGAAGCCTTAACAAGCCGATTAAATAGTTACGGGCAGAGCTGCAGCAGGAACCGAGGCGCAAGAAAAGCCACGGCCCACGCCGCAGGAAGCCCCGCAGCCGCGTCTGAAGGAAGACGAGCCCGGGCGCGGCTTCCCGCGGCCTGCCTGCGTGAGTCGTCCCGCCGCGTCCCAAATTTTGCCCCCGGCTTAGCTCTGGCCAGCGGGCCACCTTTTCCCGCACCCAGCGAGGGAAGCCGCAAAGAAGCGGGCAGGAGCCTCCACCGCGGAGAGGGAGCCGGCGGCCGCTGCCCCAAACGGCCCCACCGCTAGCGGCGGTAGCGTAGCCACCGAGACAGCCCACTCAGGCGGATAGGCGGCGCTTTGGTCCCGAAGGCCCGCCGCGGGTTGGCGGGGCGAAGGCGAGGAGGCGGGGCGAAAGCTGAGTTGCGAGGGCCGGCGGATTCGCTGAGCTCGGGCTCTCTGGCGGAGGCGGAGGGAGCTCGCTGCACGGTTCCGCGGCGGCGAAGGAACGGCGAGGCGCGCGCTCTGCGGACCCTTTTCTTTCCTCGCTCCAGGGACGCGCAGCCGAGGCCCAGGCGGGTGTGACAGCCGAAGGTGAGGGGCTGCGGGGCGCCCGTCGCCGCTTTATCTCGCTGGCCTAGCGGACGGGGGAAGGGAAGTCAGGCGGCGCCAATCGGGCCAGAGCGCTGCTTGGCCGGGCGACATCCTGTTCGGCGGAGCGAGGCCTCCTGCAGCCTCTGCGGGTGGCGGGAAGGCGGCGTGCGAGGCGGAGA